AGGCAGAAAAAAGGGAATTATCTGAATCTGAAAATATAAACAGAAGTGAAGCTAAAGGCCTGGTGTGGAAATTAAGAAAAATGAGAGATTCTCTATGGTTTCAGAAATCTAGATTGGATTGGGCTCAGATGGGGGACAAGAATACCAGATTTTTTCACATTTGTGCCAACAAGAGGAGAAGTAGAAACTTACTTGATTCAGTTCAAGTGAATGGTGTCAAAATTGAAGAACCAATTGCAATTAAACAGGAAGTATATAGGCACTTTTCCAGCTTGTTCTCTAAAAATTGGGTTAACAGGCCAAAACTTTCAGGACAGTTTAAAACCATCAGTAAGGTAAAGGTTGAAGAAGTGTTGGAGGCTGCTTTCTCTGAGGATGAAATCTAGCTAGCTGTAAAAGATTGTGAAGGAAATAAAGCTCCTGGGCCGGATGGATTCAACATGACTTGCATCCAAAAATGTTGGAGATTCATGAGGAAAGATTTTGTACAATATGTTAATGAGTTTCACATGAATGGAAAATTGGTGAGGGGCATTAATAGCACTTTCATTGCCCCCATTCCCAAAAAGGATAACTCTTCTGACTTATCAGACTACAGGCCCATTAGTCTTATCAGCTCAACTTACAAGGTTTTGGCAAAAGTGCTTGCTAGAAGATTAAAGATGGTGCTCCCTGAGATTATAAGTGAAGTATAGACTGCCTTTCTGGGGGGAAGATATATCCAAGATGGAGTGCTGATTGTTAATGAGGTGGTGGATGGATGGAGGAAATCGAAGAAAAAGGGCTTAATTTTGAAGCTTGATTTTCAAAAAGCCTATGACTCAGTCAATTGGGAATTTTTGTTATCTATGATGGATAACTTTGGATTTGGTGAGAAATGGTTGAAATGGATTAAAACCTGCATCTCAACAACAAGATTATCAATGCTGGTAAACGGATCACCTACTGAGGAGTTTTCTCCTGAAAAAGGGATTCGACAAGGGGATCCACTTTCACCATTCCTCTTCACAATAGTGGCAGAGGGACTTAATATCCTGTTATCAAGGGCAAAAGCAAGGGGATTGATGAAAGGGGCAGTGGTAGGCAATCAAGAGGTTAATATTTCTCATCTTCAATTTGCTAATGATACAATAATTTTGTGTGAGGCTGAAAGGGAGGAGATCCTATCAATAAAAAGGATTTTAAGATGCTATGAGTTTTTGTCAGGATTAAAAATTAACTTCCATAAGAGTGTGATATGTGGGATTGGGATGGAGGATGAGAGTGTTCATTATTATGCATCATTACTCAATTGGGGTTGGAAAAAATTACCATTAAAGTATTTGGGATTACCTTTGAGAGCAAATCCAAGAAGAAAAAAGAGTTGGCAACCAATAGTGGACAAGGTGAAGATGAAACTAGCATCTTGGAAAAGGAAATTGTTGTCTTTTGCTGGTAGACTGACACTCATCAAGTCAGTTCTATCAAATTTACCTATCTACTATCTATCTATTTTCAGAATGCCAAAAGGGGTGGTGAAGATCACTGAAAAACTGCAAGCTGCCTTTTTATGGGGGGGTACATCTGTGAAGAAAAAACTCCATCTGGTGAAATGGAAGGAAGTTACCAAAACTAAAGCTCAGGGTGGATTGGGAGTAAGCAGAATTAAGGACCTCAATGAGAGTTTGCTCCTAAAATGGTGGTGGAGATATGGTTCTGAGAATGGATCATTATGGAAGTTTGTAGTGTCAAGCAAATATGGTCATGAGGGTGGAGGTTGGAGCCCAAATGTGATGATTAATAGATCTATGTCCATAGTTTGGCAAGATATATTATCATCTGTTACGTCTAATATTGATCTACACTCATATTTTGTTGCAAATTTTAAAATTGTAATTGGTAATGGTGAAAGGACACTTTTGGAGGGACAACTGGTTGGTAATTGGTAAATTAGAGGCTACCTTTCCTAGGCTTTTTAACTTATCAGAAACTAAAGATGACTCCCTGAAGTCTGTTGTTCAAATCAAAAATGAAGTAGAAGGGTGACAGTTCTCATTCAGAAGACCTTTAAGAGCCTGGGAAGAGGAGGAAGTTAAAAGGCTTGTTGAGGTATTGGAGGATGTTCCCACTCTAAGGGTTAATATTGATGATCAAGCTTGGTGGAATGCATACCCATCGGGTTCCTTCTCCATTTCCTCTGCCAGAAGATGGCGTGAGTCAGCTCAAGGTCCATCTCTTGGGATTACTAAACTGTTATGGGGCAATGGAGCACCACCAAGAGTGAAATTTTTGGTTGGTTGGCCTGGAAAGATAGAGTGAGAACGGCTTTCTATCTTCAAAGAATTGGAGTTTTGGATCCAAATGTGAACATTTATTGTCTATTTTGCAGGGAGAATGTAGAACTACCAATCACATTCTACTACATTGCCCTTTGGTTTGGAGAACGTGGTATGAATTATTGGATTGGTGGAACTTGTCTTGGGCAATTCCTGGATCTGTTGGAGATCTTCTGGAATGGTGGTTAGGTACAAGTTGCAGCAGGTTTGAAAGGAGGATATGGCACTCTACTCCTTTTGCTATCATGTGGTCTATGTGGAAGCTCCAAAATGATTGTTTGTTCAACAGAATTCAACCAGATTTTACGGCTCTTGGGGAGTTAATAAAGGTTAGAATTGCTTTATGATTGAAATATAACACGTTTGGGGTACACTATTCTATTAATGAGGTGATGTTCAACCTTCAGCAAGTAAGATCTTGTTCAAGGCAGCGAAAGAGAATCAAAATTTTGGGCTGACTTCAGCTGGTGGCTGCTGTTAGGAAGATTTCTTTGGTGGGGTTAGTTTGATTGTTTTTGGTTCTCCTCTTTTCTTTTTCTGATTGGTTTCTCACCAACTTCGGCTTGAGCTAGCACATGATTGCCTATCGTGCTTGGTACCAACCTTGTTGGGATTAGGTTGGGGTGCTATGATGCTATTCAGCTCGTCTTTTTTTCTTTATTGATGGTTTCCATATGTAATGTATCTTTGATTTCATCAATAAAGTTTTTCTTCTTTGTTGATAAAAAAAAAAAAAAAAAAAACAGTAGTCCCTGTTGAAAGATTCCTACTAAAACACATTAACTTCTTTCAATTTGTATGTATATATGTAATAGAGATGAGTCTTTATCCATTCATAGGCTACATTGTTATTGTAACACATCGATGCATAAATGTTTATCCGTATGATTGAAGACAAAGTTATGATTTTTTATTTTTATTTATTTATTTTAAAACTAATGAGTTAAGGGTTTTGAAAGAGAAACAAAATTAAAGTAGAAGCAATGAGATTACAAAGTTTTGGTTTGGTATATTTGGACTATCAATAAAAGACATATATGTTCTTATCCTAATAAAATATAATTAAATAAAAGACTTGAATTCTAATATAATTAAATAAAAGACTTGAATTCTTTAATACTGTTGGTAAACAAGCAGTAAGATCACTAAAAGGACAACCCTTGAAAAAAATATTTGATTTATTCATTAGAAAGTGACTTCCCATCAACTCTCTTTTTATGTTGAGTTTTATGTACTTTAATTATTATTAGGCACCAAGACTTCCTGCCACTCCTTTCCTAGTCTAACATCAGATAAGGCCCTTCTTCCTAGACATAATAGTTTGTTCAAATGCTCAATATATATATATATATATACATATATATATTATTCAAGTAACCCCACCGGCCACTTGAAGATCAAAGAACCTATCTTCCTATCTCAATATTATCACCCATCAAATTATGCAAGAATTTTAAAACATAAATTTCGAAACATGATCCAATAATTAAAAATTTTGAAAACATTACGTGCCTAGAAGGGTAGGCCAAGTGGAATCCTGTCCCATGATCTGATTTTTAAAATTAACAATTAAATTATGTGATTGTGATTGCACGAGACTTAGACAAATAATTTTGAAATAGAAGATCTTGTGCTCTTGTGGTGATAGGGACGGTCCCTGTTACCTGCATATCAATTAAGTTCAGCAATCAAATAAAGTCCCTAACACCACTACTCTTAACAGCCATTGTTCAAGATCCTTGAATAAACAAAATGGGGTACACTAGGTCCAAGTGGTCATAAGAGGCAATTAAGTGCAAGTGAGCTTAAATCTCAAATCGAGTCAATGGAATGACATCAGCCTGTTGTAAGAATCTAACATCTTACCATGTGACTGTGACTAAAAGAAAAGGTCCCACTTCACAAACCCAATGACATTAATTTAACCAACAAATTCCTCAAATAGACGCAGCATTATGTTCATTTTAATAACTAAACAAGAAAATAAAACTACCGAACAAATCTCACGCTTAGCCAAAATTATCTGAAGAAAAACATGCTCAACGAATCGCTGCTAACAAAGGCCTCAGAAGTTACAAAATAGACGGATAAACCTGTACCGTTAGCTTTGATGAACAAAAGAGGGGAAAATAAGTGGGGATGAGGTGTTTGCTATGGTGTAGTGAGAGTTTTATAGCCAAACCACACCCTCCCTAAGCCTTCAAAAACGGGGCCAAACTGACAAACCTACCTCTTTCTACGAGCGCTGGAACTAGAGTACCGAAACTGAACTACTGCCTTACTTTGGTTCCTTCTCTGGTTTGGGTGCATGCACAAGTTCACTGAAATCTTAACTTACAGCAATTCCTTCCTTCACTTACAGGCTTTCCTAAAAGTCAAAGTCATGATCCTGTCCCTTCAACTATCAGTCCATTGACTAAGAATGGGGTCTGGATCAAGAACTTCACGGAAAGAAATTTACGATGACTTTTGACAATGGTTAAGGTAGGCCGTGTGGGTTAGTGGCAGCTGGATTCCTCTAATCAAGTTGACCTCAAACAAGTATTTCAATGAGTATGATGTAACTATGAGATTCCTGGACCCCATATCTGAACACACAGTAATGATATAGCATATCAATAATCTGTGGCTACTTGACCCAGCAATTCAAACTGACAGAAGTTTTCCAAAATAAAGCTTAACAAATTAGCAAAAGCAGCTTCATGATAGGGTAATTATTTCATTTCTAGGTAATATAAAGCATAGTTATTGGTCCACAAGAAAAGGAATGAGAAAACTATTAACCCTCAAATCTGTCTTGAGCTTTTCAAGTTGTAACCGGAGTATCAAGCTGCATATGATATCTGGAAACTGGAAGATGTTTCAGAATAGCTGTAAGCCATGGATATCACGAGCCACCATCTGCAGGTTCATTTGCTCTCAATATCATAGAGATCTGATCTGAAGATGTACATCAAGGAAATTACAGAATATTATGTGGACAACCAAATACAAGAGTATATGAACCATTTTTAAATGTTTAGATGCCGCAAAGAGGGTTAACATCTCTGATCTTGCATGCGCAGCATTTTATTTTTAATGACATGTAGTCTACTATGGAACTTAAGAGAGTCCATCCACTTCGCAGAGCACTTTTTTTTTTATACGATAGGATGTTAGAGGGTTAGTAAGTTAGATTACAATGAAAGGGTCTCCATCAACTCGAACCCTGAATCTCTAACTTTCTCACCATCCAAGGACAGCTAACATGGACCACTGGGCCGAATGCCCTGTCCCACTTTGGAGAGCACTTAAGCACACTGTTTCTTGAGCAGTGCTATTAAAGGCGCGCCTTGGCGTGCGCCTAGGCCCAAGTCCCATCCAGGCCCAAGGCTTGCACCTTGTAGTGTTCTAGGCTAAGCAACTTTGATAAAGCGCGCCTAGGCATACGCCTAGGCCCAAGTCCCATCCAAACCCAAGATTTGCGCCTTGTAGTGTTTCAGGCCAGACTTTGATAGCACTTGACTGGCCCAAGGCTTGTGTATTAAGGGGTTTTTTTTATTGTTGCTTTAATTGGTTTTGTTTAAAATCTGACCATTGATTTAATATGGTGTACCTACAGAAGATCCCTACTTTTATTACAGATGCCAATACATTGGGCATTCAACCCCAAATCAATGATAGAAGAAAAATTAGCCCTAATTCCTAATCTCCAAAAAAAACTAAATATTTTAACATTTTATTTTGTTTATGTTGAACCCTAAATTATTTACTTATATTAAATTATATTTTTTTTCCCGTACAAGGTGCGCCTCACTTCAGTGAATCTTGCACCTCGCCTTGCGCCTTGAGCCTAGGCCCCAGGAGACCTTGGCTCTTTGGTGCGCCTATCGCCTTTAATAACACTGCTCTTGAGGAAGGAGCAAGTCAAGCGACCTCGATGAACCCTTAAGTATAGCCTCTAAACCACAGTACTCTAATGATTCTAAGCAATGCGTGCCTAGGCCTCGCTTCTAGCCTGTGAAAACAAAATGATAGCAATGGTTGTAGTGATGATGAATTATTTTAGACTCCTTGATAGAGGATATAAGGCATGGGGGAGTCATGACCCAACAGAAGGTCTTTATGGCCAATCCAAGAGGCGGTGTCAAGCTACTCAAGCCATGTTGCTACTGAGTTGGGGTGGCCAAGCAGAGATACCTTGACTTGACGGAGTGGAATTCATGACCATGCCTTGAAATGACCTATGGGAATGAGGCATAAGGGGGTCGTGGTGTGGCAGAGGAGCACTTGGCCGAACTAAGGGATTGTTGAGCCATGTTGCTAGTAGGGTGGCTGAGCGAAAGTGCCTTGGCTTAGTTGAGTATTGCTTTGGACCACGACTTGGGATTCTCATTCTTTGACTCATCCACTCTGTGCATTGGCATGTGATGTGCCTACAGCATCTAGCTCGTTAATGATCTAGTATCCTTTTTTCTTTTTTTTTTGTTAAATTGCCACGTTGTCTTATCCGTATTGTCGTACCCATGCTTTGTGTTCAAATCCATGTTTAATAAATAATTTAAGAAGGTTTGCATTGTATTGATCGAGGATTCTTTGGTAATGTCCTTTGCAAAAAGGGCTTTGGTCTTAAATGGGCATGTTAAGTTGGGCAATTAATTATGGCATAAGATTGGACCTGGAAGTTCTTACCTTTTGAAGGGAATTTAAACAGTTCGGAGGGGCTTTTGAGAAATGTGGTGAATGGCGCCCTCATGCTGTTGGATTTTGAGAAGAGTAGAACAAATGTTCCCTTGAAGAAAGTAGAGATCCTTATTCTTTTGGCTCAAAGGTAGCTCCAAGTTTTGATATAGCCTTTCGCTCATCTTTGGGAGCTATTGCACTAGTGCATAGTTTTTGAGATCCAGCTTTTGGGTTTTTGTACAGGGCTGGTGTTTTTCCATACCAACAAGTGATACCCTCAACATAAGGTGTATCATACCTACCACCAACGTCATTCTATGATACATTCCCCAATATATCATTACTACCTCTGTTGTTGCCCATAATACAGACCCCAAGATCTAAATCCTATGACATAAGGGTAGGCATGATACCTCCATTTTGTCAAACCAAGGAGAGTCACCCACCTGTTCCTGGGTAAGCTAGCCTCTAACAGTCCATCATCCTATATAAGGGGACTCCAATGCAAGTGTTGAAGTAAGTTCATCCTTACTCTACTCTTCCAGCAATGGTCCATCTTTTGTTCTACCATCCTCTCTCTCACCAAGGACACCTTAATTCTCTCCTCCTTGGCCTCTAATGACTCTCACGAACTTCCGAGAAGGTATAACTAACCACCTCACTAGCCACCACCCACACTTAGAAATGTCAATGATCACTAATTCTCCTTCTTGCTCTTTTATAACCTCCTCAAGACCCCCCTCCCCCTCCCCTCTTTTTTATACAAACTTTTTCAATACAAGAAAAAACATCATACAAAATTACACTTTAAGGCAATGTTTGTTTGCTAAATTAGGTTGAACGAGATAATGAGTACATGGGATTGAGTGAGTGGGATTACTACTGTGGTGGCATTAGGTCGGAGGTGTAAGGTAAACTGTGTTTGTTTGTGCACTATTATAGTGATATTAATTGATTGAGATTAAATCTATGAAATTATGTAAAAGCCCTCACTATGTAGAAGGTGATTGTTGTTTTTGTAAAGTGAGGGGCAAAATAGTCATTTCACCCCCAATCCCATAAGATTGAATTTGCAATACCACCTCCCCCATGGGATTGCTACTCCCCTCATTGAAGGGTATTCCGAATCCCATGGGACTCCTAGTCTCATCATGGCCATTTCTCAAACCAAACATGTTTCTTGTGAGGCCCACATAATTCGTAATCCAATCTCATAGGCTATGGAGGAAAACAAATAGAGCCGAAGAGGAAGGGAATGGGTAGCAAGGTCATTCAATGTCCCGATCACCAATTGGGACGACCTATTGCTCCCTAACCTCCTCAGGACGTTGACACATTAATTCATTTATTCACAATTTATACACAACCTAGTAATGAAGGAGCATCAAGTGATAATCTATAAAAATGATAAAGACATTTTAATTAGTCAACTCTGGTTTTCAAGATCATCGAAGTGATATAAAAGTTGTTATCAAGATTCAAGAAAATGCCTTAAAGACTTCTAGGTCATTGTCAAGTGCTTAAATAAATTGAGTGCTTGTTATGTGTGGAATACCAAGAATCTAGCATTTTAAGAGACATTTGTAATCTTATAAATTCATACGAAGATGAATAATAAGATTAGGTTTTTGATATCCAAAAAATTATCTTGCAGTTGTTCTTGCCTAGAGTGATTGATTCCTTTAGTGTAATCAAGGAAGTGTCCTGGTCACATGAATGATTCTACAATTAGTAGTCTCAAGTGATTCCACTCGTTGAGCAATTTGTGACAAATCAAATCCACTCATTTCTTCTCTTCTTCTCTCTTCTTCTTCTCTTTGGCAATGAGCCTGTAAAAAGTGCTCAGTGAGTAACAAGAAGATCCATCTTATAAAGTATGGGTACTTCAACAAACATGCCGTACCCCGTACCAGGTATTTACCGATGTACGATACTTCGTATGCTACTTCTGCATACGTACTGGGTACACGAAACACAAGGTCTCAAATTTGTTCATGTCTTGAGACAACCACTTTGTGCACTATGCCAAAAGTTAGGTGTGTACCCAATCTTTTCCCTCCCAAATACACATTAATATGTACTAATTGGGCGTTGTTTTCAATTTTTGGCGTACCCAGACGTACCTAATATATACCCAAGACGTACCATACCTCAATCGAAATAATATTTTCTTTTATTGCAGAGATAAAATTCATTTCACTAGGCTTCTCTTTTATTTTTAGTTTTATGCTTAGCATGATTTTAAAATTAAGCTATGGTTTGTAAGTTATTTAATATAATGACATTTAATTTTGGTTTATACCTTTCCTTTTGGCACTAAATGTTAATTGTAGGTTGGATATTAACAAATTAAGTAATTTAATCAATTTTTACATTACTCTAAATTAAAAATAAATATTTTTTTTACAAACGTACCAAGCCAATCCTATTTTGTTGGATCGGCGTACCTGTATCATATCAATACCGGTACCCGTACCCCTACCCATGCTTCATGATTCTTATCTCAAGTATGAGGACTAGAGAAAATATTAGCTCAGCACATCACAATATATAGGGATGGAAACTTACACAAACTGAGATGAATATTCCTTTAAGATACGCATCCAAAATCAATGTTATTGTGAAGCTATTGCACAACCTGAATTGTATCTAACAAGGTAAGTAGCATGTTGATAAAAATCCAACTTCTATCCTCGTTGGGAAGGTGGGCATTCATAGGTATGTGGCTAGGAGAGGCCCAAAATAAACAGCCCCTCCAGGCAATCATTATTTAGCCCCCATCACCATTGCTGATAAATCCCTTCCAAGACAAAAGCATATCATCAAAAGATGTTTCTCCATCCATCCCTTTGCCCCTCCTTCAAATTATAAAAATTAGAACCTCCTCTTCTTCAACTGAAGATTGGGCATAGGGAAGTCATTTGGTTTTCAGAGCTAAGTGCAAAATTAGTGAAAGGTTCTATAGAATCTCTTTTATCTAGCCAATGTCTATATGTGTGTATGTGTGTGTTGCAACAAGAAAAAGTTCAGCACTTGCTTTATGTCCATTTATTTTTTTTTTTGTATGCTGAAATTTTAACATGGAATAACATGTTTGTTTCAACAATTTCTGAAGTTATACCAAAATTTTTTGCATCTACTAAATTAAGTAGTCTAAAGCCCCCATCCATAACATTAGTTTGCCATTTTATGACTTCAAAGCCAGCAAGGTTAACATTTAAAATCATACAACCATACATCTAATTGCTTAAAGTAATCCTTTAATCCCAAATATATATATTTGCATTATCATGCTGTATAAAATTGAAATGGGTTATTGTTTAATAACAATGAATTATGAAATATTATAAGCAGACAGTGAATTTGGTCCTTGGGAAACCAGTTAGCAACATGTCTCAGATAACCCTAATCACATTATATCATTTTAGAATAGCATCAACAAAAATAAAAATAAAAATGAAAATGACAAACAGTGAATCAAAAAAGGATACATCAAGTAAAAGCCATGAGCAAATGCCCCAGCAAGCACAGCAGTGAACAAACGGTCCCTCAAAACAGGGTTATGTCGCAATTGAATTCGAACTGAAAATTGAGAAGGCAAAGATTAAAACACTGAATGAATCAAACCCATTATTAGAAACACACAATGTAGTAAATTTACAATGAACCAACAGAAAGAAATTAATAAAAACAAAAATAAAACCAGAACTACTACTTACTAAGAGGAAGAACAGGAGCATAAATTAGGGGAAACAGAAATTTCAAAGGGGATCCTTTGTTTGTTTCCTAGCAGCAGCCTGTACATCAAACTACAGTAAACAAGAGAGAGAGAGAGAGAGAGAGAGAGAGAGAGGGAGAGAGAGGATCTGATATGATATGATTACCAAAAGTACAAACACAATGCATAAAATTAGACATATGATTGAGGAAGTCTGTATATGATTTATTTAGAAAGAACTTACTGGTTGGAGGGATCGGAAGGCGACGCCATTGTAGTTGTAAACTCGGAAAAAGACAATGAGAGAGAGAGAGAGAAAGAGTCGTTTTTGTTGGGCTGACCGCGAAGGAGGTCTCGCACAATCTCAGTTTGTGTAAATTTCTAGAATTCTCTCACTTTTAATACTTCGTTTTCCAAATTTTCCACATTTCGCAGTAGCTTGATTCGATCCGAGAAATTTCGAGCTTTCATCTCTTTTTTGCAGATTAAATTTTAAAATTTATAATTTGTTTTTAAAATTATTTTATTTTGTCATAATTAATATACTTTTTAAATTTTTAATGAAATATTAAAATAAAAATTAATGTGAAATAAATTTAAGATGTGAAATTTATTATAAATTAATAATTATATATCAAAAATATTATGTAAAATTAGTTTATATATTATGCAAATACTTAATAATTATTTAAAAATATTCTTCAATCTATCCCAAAACGCAAATTCATTATTTGTTAATCCATTAATCTGCCATTTTATTTATAATTTTAGTCTCAAACTACTCAAACTACACCACGCACATCTCTACTCTCTATAATAGTCAAAAAGTTAAAAAATCACTAAGACTATATTTGGTTTATGGATTTAGAAAACAGAACGAAAAAGATGTGTGAAATTTGATAAAATATAAGTATATTTTATTTACATTTCACTTACTTTTTCTCTTTTTATTTTCAAATTTCTCATAAAATTCATAAACCAAACATAGCATTAACAAATATACAAAAAAGTTTTTTAAAAAAATGTATCTCTACTTTGGCACGTAATTCGTAAAACATCAAAAAATCTTAACAACCATCTAAATTTTTTTTCATCTTATATTTTTAATAAAAAAATCAAAAAATTACTAAAATAATATATTTCCAAACCAATCCTACTAAGGATGTGAAAATATTAGTGGGGTCAGCTCATATTTATACTATGTAATGAGAGAATAATTGTTATTCCAAAATTTATCCAATTCAATTTGAGCCTAATCTAGTTATTTCAAATTCTACCTTAAAAGAAATTCAAATTTCAAGTCTGCTCACTTAACACAATAGGTATGAGTTATTAATTTTAGAGTAAATTACAAACACATTCTCCGAGGTTTGCTTAAAATATGAATTGTCCCTTGTGGTTTGAAAAATTACAAATATCTCCTTGTCAAAATTTTTTATTTAACAGAATTAATTGAAAAAGTTAAATTTCTAACTATTCACCTATACAATTATAAAATTATCTGAATTATTAATTGAAATAAAATTTTAACATTACTAAAATTATTAATTAACTTGATGATTTATTAATAAAATGACTTTTTTGTTATGAAATTAAAAATCTTAGGAGGCATAATGTAATTTCTAGAACTACAAGGCATAATTTATAATTTAAGTAAACTTCAGGGGATGTGTTTGTAATTTATCCTTAATTATATTTTAATTTATTTTATTTTTGTCTTTAAATGATGATAAATTATCTAGATTCATTTATTTATCAAATTTGAAACGTTAACGAAATTAAATGATAAAATAAATATAATTTTTCACAAATATTTTAATTAAAACCTTATAAAAATGTATATATCTTTTGTCTTATATATTTTTTTATACTTTATTTTATAACAAGAAAAATATTAATTTATAATTAATATTTTATAAATAGATTACAATTCTTTACCCCAATCAATCCAAATATTAAAAAGTTAATTATCTAAAATTCTTATTTAAAAATGTTATGTAGCTCGGGTTCTATTTAAGATTTTTAAACCAATTCCTATTTAATAAAATTGATAATATTATTAGTTTTTTCTATTTTTTAAAACTAAAAACATTATCAGTTTTGCATAGCAATGTTCCAGATCATTATTTCACTAAGTGATGGAAAAAAAACACAGAGTATGAGATGAAACATTTTTACTCTTATACTTATTAGTCTGATTTAACTATCCAATAAAATCGAGAACATTAACAGATTTTTTCAGTTTTAAAACTGAGAATATTATCAATTTTTTCATTTTTAAAGTTTTTTTTTTCAGTTGTGTACATCAATGTTCCATCATCATGCTCTTTTATAGACACAAAAAATTCAGTTTTGCACAAAAAAATAAGGGCCCGGCTTGTGTCATGTTGAGATTAAAGGCTGGACCCATCTAGTCCGACCCATGGGCACATTTTTGGGCGCCGTTTCGATAATCCGAGCCGTTCAATGTGTAGAACTTGTTGAATATTATATCTATGTAACAAACCATGTTGATCGAATATCAATAGTTATTTGATCGAATCAGATTTGTATTAAAAAAAAAAACGGTTGAAAGAATTCTGATTCGATCAAATAGCTATCGATACTCGATCAATATGATTTTTTACAGAGATATAATACTCGACGAGTTCTACACATTAACGGTTTGGATTATCGAAACGGGGCCCAAAATTGGGCCCATGGGCCATGGGACAAGCTGGACCCAAAAAATAATTCAATTTTTTCAAATAAAAAACAAGAAAATTAGTCTAAAGTCCCTCTTCCATTTTTAGTAATGGAAGAGATCCACAATATTATTTTATAATGTCTAAGGTCTCTCACTCCCACTCTCTCTATCTTTTTTCTTATTTGTTCTCGTTTTTAACCTCTGCACATCTCGTTCTCAATCGTTGTGTCTTCCATTCACCGTTGCATATCTTTCTCTCTTCACATCCGTCGCTATAATGCCACTGACTAACCACCATCACCGCCGTTCCTTTCGTGAGTTCGAGCTCTGGTCTTTTCCTTTCCTTACACTCATAGAAATCGAACCTGAAAGCATAAATGAGCCGCATAGGTTGATTTTCGTTGACTCTGCGATGGTCTTGCTTGTAGTTCTGACACCATTAACAATGTCAAGGCTAAGATCCAGGATAAGGAGGCTATCCCACCAAACCAGCAGAGGTTGATCTTTACTGGCAAGCAGCTCGAAGGTGGGTAGTTGAAGCGAAACGAGCAGATCGCAAAGGTTCCAGATCGATGTGGGGAGTGACCCATTGATCAAATTGCTGCCCAAATCAATATCGAAGAGAGAAGAGCTGTAGCCAAACTCGAGAGGGATGGTTCCAGAGAGTGTGTTGACGTTGAGATAGAGGGTTTGGAGGTTTGAGAGCTCACTGAGCTTTCTTGAGAGTGTTCCAGATTGTCCAGCCGAAGGAAGTTGTAGAGAGAGAAGGTGGAAAGTCCAAGAAAAGCCAGGGACGCCAGAGAAATTTCTAAAATTTCTTTAGAGATGTAATTTTGTGAGAAGGCCTGGAAAGCTAAAGAATTTTCAAGTTTCTCTGGAGTATATAGAAGCCAGAGAAAACAATTGGTAAGAGAAATTTTCAAATTTTCTCTGGAAAGTCCTAGAATTTCTCTGTGAAGTCGAATTTTCTCTAGATCAATTTGAGAGACCTTAAGCCTTAGACTTTAGACATTATTAAATTTCTCTAGAGAGTGGGAAGTACAAGGAAGGTAGAGAAAAAAATTTCTCTAGAGAGAAGGAAAGACCAGAGAAATTTACAGTGAGAAGTCTAGGAAAGGTCAGAGAAATTTGTGGGTTTACAGTGGGAAATTTGTGGTTTCAATCTAGAGAATTTCTCTGATCTATCTGGTTTGGACCAGAGAAATTTGTGAGTTTGTTAGTAAAGATTGTATTGTTGGCTTATATATTGCACAAAGTCAGAGAAATTCTTTGTGAATAGAGCCAGAGAAATTTATGAAGTCAGAGAACTTTCCTGGATAGCCACACAAATTTTCTCTCTACAATTTTCTCTGGTTTGAACCTAGAGAATTTCTCTGGAGATAATTTCAATTTTCTCTAGGACTGAAATTTTTCTAGATCGATGTTGAGGGATCTCAGACATCACGAAAATATTTGATGTCTTCTATGCTATAAAATTTTAATATCAGGGACCTTAAAAAAAATCCCCCATAAAAAACATAGTTTTTAATTTTTTATTTTGCACATATATATATATATATATATTTAGTTTTTTCAATTTTAAAATTGATGTTTTAAAATTTTGAAATTCAATATAAATTTCAAATTATCATGTTCCTTTATGGATAATCATAAATGATGAACAATCATTATTTGAAAGGTAATTTCTACTATTAAAAATTTAATGGAATTTGAAGGTCTAAATTTTTTTAATTAAGACTTAATAGAATATAAATTTATAAATTAAAACATACGTCTAAATGCTCAAAATCTTAGTCTAGCCTAATCTTATGGGCAAATTAATCTCTTCAAATCTTGAAAATATTGAGCTAAATTGGATGGACCGCTACTAGTAAGACGTGATTCGTTGGTTGCGTTGAGCCCTCTCAAACTCTATCATAATTTATTGAGTTTGAAATTATTATTTGGATTCATAAAAGGTTGGTTTGAGTAAAATGTTTTAATTTGATTAAAATGGGGTGATTTGAAAAGTTGGTTAAAAATTGACTTTTTAACTTTTTTTTTGACTTTTTTATTTTTTATTTTTTTATGTGTAAAAAATATGAGAAATAATGTGACTCAAAATGAGTTAAAAGTTAAAAATTAACTTTTGACCATATTTACCCAACATAAGTTAGGTTGAAGATTAGTGCTTCAAGTCCAACCCACCCTAACTTGTCTACAAATTATATTATACAATAAATATGTATATATATATATATATATATTATAATTGATTTCATTTTCTTATAAACATAAATTATGTATTGTTAATCATGTAAAAAGTAATTATAAAATTTAAAATATTAATTTAGGCAATCAGATCATTAAATTAATTATATTTTTTTATTTTCAAATATAAAAATTAACTATAATGAATAATAATTAAGCTACAAACCGACTTAATTTTTTAAATTTATTTTTTAACAAGTTTAAGAATAAAATATTGATCCAATCTTAGGCCAAACCAAAACCAAATTGAAAAAATTATTTAAAATGTTATTATTATATAACGTAGCTCACGTGCCAGGTCGAAATTTACTCACCCACATCCACAATATGATGATTATCGTTTGAATATTTTTTTGTTTAATTTACTATTTTTTTTAAAATTTATTTTGATTGGTTTAATTTGCCATTCAATATTTTTCTTTCCACTTAGTAATTTTCATTGTTTTGATTTTAAATTTACTAGTAATTTTATTTTTATTTTCAGTACTTCTCATTGTTTATA